CAGAAGCAAGCTTTCTGCCTCTTCCAATACAGGCCACATTCTAAACTGCCGGGCCAACAACTCGAGTTAACTAGTCTCGGGCAAGGGTAGGTACGTTTCAAGAGTCAGACCGGACGCAACGCAAATACCCTCGTCTTGTTGTGTCTGAGGCTACCCATTCATCTGGACAGCATGCCTGGCATTTCTCGAACTCTGTCAAGGTGTCCAATGGCACTTCATTGCATATTATTTTTGATTCCATTTATTCGGGTAAGCCTTTCTTCTGAGCCGGATGAATGGCGGAGTTCGATTTTCCTAGCTTAGCTTAGCGTGTCATTTCGAAGTCGAAGCACGCCATCCTGGTTTTGACGCCGCATCAGCTGCACATGCAAGCTGCGCCCAGATTGCACCATTTCCTGCATACCCTTCCAGATTGAGCTCGATCATCGAATCTGATCTTATGTGCGCGCACAATTGCCGTTCCTACCGACGCCTGAACACGCTCTTCGGGAATGAACGCATATCCTTTTTCTCTTTCGTTCGATATGGGGCGCCCTGCCGAGGTAGGATACACCAATCGATGTATTTCGATCGTCATCAAGCTCTTCTCTATTGGACAGACGTATCTTCATTATGTAAACAAAGAAGCTCTTGCCCACCCTCTCGCCTGGCATTTCACGTTACGTATCATTCTCATGGATGTGTGTTATTTCTCATCGAAGCCTCCTCGTCAGCAGCTCTAGAAGCGACTGGTGACCCTGACTGAATCGAGATTACAAGATTGCGTGTAGGTTCGGCCGCTTCAAGGGTGCACAGAATAGGTAAGAATGGCTAAGTCATGGGGACCTTAGCGAAATTTTCCATTGGCCGCCAGCCCAGTGGTATGAATTATCAAGGTTACATGATATCAAGCGCGTGATTATGCTGTGAAAAGCTCGTCATGGAAGTTGAGACCACCATGATCGTCAAGCAGTCCGCGAAAGGTATAAGAACACTCCTTCAGCATGGAGCTCACAGAACTTCGTCTTGATCACAAACTATCTTGTCTACTTAATTCTCGACGTCATGAGGTTTACATCCGCCATCCTGGGTCTTGCCCTGACGACCAAAATATTAGCTCTCTGTCCTTATGCAGAGCGAGCCCTTCAGGACCCCGATTTCTTGAAACAACATCTCAGGGAGCGAGATGCGCCGAAAGCAGAGAAACAATATGAGAAGAGACAGAGCGGACCAGGGAACATTCCATTTACCACCTTTAACGAGAACCAATTGATCAACGTCACCGGTGAATACGCTTGGGTTGCCCCGGGACCCAATGACATCCGTGGTCCCTGCCCTGGCCTCAACGCCCTTGCCAACCATGGCTACTTTCCCCACAGCGGGGTTGTTCCCCTTTCCGTCGGTGCAAGTGCCACCGAGACAGTATACGGTCAGTCTTCTAACTCAAGCAGCTGCTACATAGTTCTGATCATGGTCAGGTCTCGCTGCGGACTTTGGGATTCCCTTGACGGTGTATGCTACACTTGTTGACGGAGATGTTGTGTAAGTGACCCAGTCGTCTGTAGCCCTACTTAAACACCGAATGCTAAGACAACAGCAGTGGGGATACATGGAGTATTGGGGGTAAGCAGCCGCAGACGGTGACCTCGCCTATCCTTGGGGCGGGCGATGGTCTGTCCGGAAGCCACAATAAATATGAGAGCGATGCGAGTCCCACACGTGGCGGTAGGTTTTGGATCCAGCTGTCGAGAGACTCATATTTTCTACTGCTAATTATTGACACAGATTATTACCTTTACGATGGAGATGTCTCAGTAGGCAACGAATGTATCTATTCTCCAAGTTCTTTGCTGACGAGGAGTCTTACAGAGCGTGAAGGTTCCAAAATTCCAAGCATTGTACGACCTGCAAAACACTGCCGCAGTCCCGAACTATGACCTTGACACGCTGTAAGTTCAACGTCGTTTCGACTCCGCGTTCTTTCAAAGCGCTAAATTATGTATAGCATACAACATCGAAAGTACACTTTCGACAACTCTTTGACCACGAACCCCTATTTCTTCTTCGCGCCCTTCGCAGGCGTAGCAGTGGCAAATGCCGCCCACACTTTCATTCGTACGTTACCTCTTAGCTTGGTCATCACAATGCATGCTCATTGGCAATAGCGGCCTTGATGTCAAACCACTCTGCAGAGTACCCGAATGGTATACTGGACAAAGAAACCCTTAAATCCTTCTTCGCAATCACCGAAGCAGCCAACGGGACGTTGTCATGGACTCCCGGCTACGAGCGTATCCCAGACAATTGGTAATATCCCATGCCTCGAGCACAAACGCAACTGCTGACCAAACTCCAGGTACCGCCGCCCACTCGGCGCTGTCAATGAATACAGTCCAGTCTCGTTCGCCCAAGACCTCGTGCAGATTGCCGCCGTCGTCCCCGAAGCCGTCTCAGTGGGCGGTAACACCGGCGAAGTAAATACCTTCACGGGCGTCGACCTCGGCAATATCACCGGCGGCGCCTACCAAACCTCTGACCTCACAAACCCGACAAAGTTTGTCTGCTTCTTCTACCAGCTGACCCTGGCAATCGTGCCGGATTTTCTGAGGAGCGAGGCTCTTGGCAGTGCGCTTGCTGGGGCGTTGAATCTGTTGCAGACCGAGATTTCACCTTTTGTGGATCCAAGTTGTGCTACAATCGGTGGGTTGATCCTCGGGGACAAGATGCATTAGGTGATCGGTATGCTAACGTGCAATCGTCTAGCGAACTACAACGACGCCTTCGCCGCACAGTTCCCCGGTGCTGCTGTTGGCCAGCCCTGATAGGATGTCCAATCAGCAGCCATGAGGGGTGGACTGACAAGAAGGACGAGCTAGTCAATAATGTCGCTTATCTCACTTCCTTGCTTGAACATCATTCTTTCTAGCTACAGCGGCTACTTTTGTGTTTCAATCTGAGGTAATGGAACGTTAGGATGATAGCACACGTTCCTTGTTCTGCATTGAAGATTTTTCAGTCGAACCTGTTCGTCTTCTCTACGATGCTACGTTTCGGCTTATGCGCAATAATGTTATAGAAAGTAACACAATGAAAAAATTTGCCCGCGAAAAACTGCATATGATGATGCGTGTAGCATCTCAGAGGACCATCGTCTATCCTTTTCATAGGTTTGGACAAGTCAAACCAATAACCGAGCATGGCTACCTTTTATCGACCTACTACTGGCACTGGGAAGGTATCCCATGCAGGGTGTAAAATTCAAGGGCTCAGCCTTGCGTGCTAAGACATCTTACACCCCAGGTGCCAGTCGATGGTATAATTATGAGACTTCAGACGCACGGTAGTCAGCTCAGCATGGACTCTGGAACCCTTCATCAGCGCATGATTGAGCAGACAGTCGTCGAATACGCTTCACAGAATATTCTTTGTGGGGAACGGAAGCGCCAAGAAGGGTGATGGTCCGGGAGCCAAGCGTCAGCCACAGCGAAAAGTGACAGTTGAACCGATATTGCATCAAGTCTCCTCAGTCAGAATTGTTGGTCAACAAGGTGAGGGAGGCACACCGGCACGGAAATCCCGTTCTCTAACCCTCGGGGGCAGCTTCCCCGCCCGTCTCGCTCCTTGCATATCATTCTCGACAATATCCCCTCCACAAGGCGGTTTGGACCTCGAAAGCTTGCTTCGCGGACATATCAAGGGGTTTTCTGCGTCGGTCTTGGGGCCTTAGCCCGTGGTGTATCCTCCATCGATCTTGACTGCGAGCCTCAAGCTCACACATAGACTCGATCAATCCCACCGTGTCTCGAACCACCGAGCCTACGCCCGATCAAAACTCGTTCAGAGCTCGATGGGCCAGCATCGCGATTCGACAGCAAGGCATACCGTCATCGGTAGGGCCTTCGCCATCCCCAACAACCACACTGGGCAAATTAAACTGCCAAACGGCGTCTCCAGTCACGCGAGCTAGTGCCCGTCAAAGATACTCTGTACCATGATACTGATGCCGGTGGACCCTTGAAAGTTGGAACTGTTGGAGCCGGATGCGCTGGCCTGTTTACCGGCTCTCATATTCGATCCTTTGAAGAAAACGTGCGGTCTCGAGGTCAAATATGAGATTCCTGGATCAAACGCTGAAGAGATACTTGGAGGCAGGCCTATTATCTCAAGGGTGTTCAAAGCCCGGGAGCCCACGAATGATACGACGTGGGTGCGATGCGAGTCCCGGAGATCGACATCATCAAACGGTAATTCCCAGTCTTTCTAGGACTGTGCCGTCACATGATTTACAGACTTACAATAGCACGTTTGACTTGTTCGAAAAGTTTTGCGGCATGAGGAGAATTTGTGAATGCTCGACCCCTGAACGAGGCGATTTGATTCCGTATTTACTTAAGGGAAACGATACGCCGTTGCTCTCCAACGGTGTTCACGTTGTCTCAATGGGTGAGGATGGACTGAGTGGCTCAGTGGTAAAACATCTGGCATTACTGGGATCCCTAAGGAGTATGTCCTGTGGTATCAAAAGGGCATTGAGGACCCTATTAATAGAGAATGCCAGATACCTAGATAAGACCCCTGAATCTCTCCTTGACGAGAGGGTCATCTCTCGTCTCATTGACCGAAACGCTTGTCAAAAATCCTGTGGAAATATGGAAAGCTGATGAGTTTGAGCGACAAATACAGCGTTCGCCAGGATCTCCAGGAGAAGTTTGTCTCCATTCTGGAGCAAATGACCAAATCACTTACATAGCCACAGGTAAAATTATGATACCACTGAATGGCTGGAGACGTACAGCTGGTAAAACTGCCTCGGTGTGAGTGAAGAAAACTGCGCTCATGCGAATGAAAGCGGCAACCGCGGGTATGACCAAGCTTTGAGCGAAACGGTACTCGAGGATCTCGACTTTAATAATAAGAAGGATTGGTGGTGTGTCGAGGGCGGCGCACAAGAAGTAGCTCATAGAATACGCAGAAAGCTTGAGCGGAAGAACTGCATTTCTTTTCACACGAAGGTTACAGGCATGAGTTGGGCCAAGGACGAGAAAGGAGATCTAGTCGTGGATGTTACTATCAAGGGTGAGAACTCACCACACCGGTACGATGCTGTATTCAACTCGGCTCCGCTTGGTGCCATGCAATGGGTGGATCTTTCGGGCCTCAATCTCAACCGGGGCACGAAGCAAGCTATCCGCTCCCTCGGTCACGGAGCATCATGCAAAGTGGGCATTCGATTCCAGAACCTCTGGTGGATCAAGCACTCAGGCATCGATAAAGGTGGTATTGCGAAAACAGATCTCCCACTGCGCATTTGTGTCCACCCATCCTACAACCCGCAGGATCACAACCCCAACGACGACACTGACAAACCCGGCGTCCTGCTATGCTCCCACACAAGGTCACAAGAAGCCCAGCGGGCAGCGTCGCCGATCAATCGCTCACGAATCTCTCCAGGATGAAGAGGAGCCGACGACACTCTTGATCGACAGCCTCGCCAAATGGCACTCCGAGGACCGACGACCACGAGGATCCACCAAATCATCTCCGACGCCTACGAGACGCGCCACGCGTACGACCGGTACGCCGATGCCGGCACCGCGGGCGCGATCGCGTACTTCGACCCCAGCCTTTCCGCAACGTGTACCCGTGGATCACGCGCAGCAGTGGGCAGCACATGATCATTGGGAAAGCGGCCTCGACACGTTGGAACCTGCCGTGCGAGGCGTCTACCAATCCCTCTCTGCGCATTCGGCCAACAGCCCAGCGGCCCACGAGGCACTGCAGTTGTACTCTCTTACACAGATCCTTCTCGGAGGGCAAACGCAATGGTCGATGTGCGCTTAGCCCGGATATCGGCCAGCGTTGTCTTGCAATGTCTTCTCGTGCTTCCAAATCCTCCGATCCAATCTTGGGGCAGCCATGAGGCTATCCACCCGTGCCAGGACCGAAGTCGATGCAACATTCGATCTTGTCGTGACCGGCGCCGCAATGTCAGTTATTTCCGTGGCATTGAGACCAATACTGCTGGTCAGAGTGGCAGCCCGAGCATATGGGAGGTAGAGAGCAATGCGCCATGGTCGTGGTCGCCCTTGCAGTTGAGATCTGCGCCGGTGCTAGACTGTGACCTGGAGAGGGACGCTGCGAGTCTGTGGACTCGAAAGGGATATCTGGTTGACTTTCAATGTCAGGAGGACGGGTTACCACTTCCCATCGGGGATGATATTTCTAAGCTCCAGACTTGTATGTGTCGGCGAGAGAATGGTGGAGCTGGGTGCGAAGCTTACAAGTTCAATGAGCTGCTGAAGGAGTGCTGCCTTATCTGCTGTCACAGCACGGCCGGGCTCATCAACAGAATTGTGTGAAAGTAGGTAGGATGGCAGGGATTTGATGGTTAGACAAGCAAAGGATAGGTATGTACTTGTACGTCTTACTGGTGTGGTCGGTGCTCATATCACAAGCCAAAGTCCTGAGAGAAAAGTCGAAAATAAGATTCAGCGCCTCATATTTTCGGTAAGCAGCTGGGACGAGTGATGCCTTCTCCGCCCTCACAGCATAGCTAGGCTCACCAACGATTACATGGTGTACTCAGTGAACCTGATGAGCAGGCGGACCAACGCAGCAAAGGCATAAACTGCCATATATGTTCAATTACGTAGTGACACTCTTCTAGTGATGTGGATATATGACCCGAAGGATGGTAAGACCCCACGAGCGAGAACGCATGTTGGCAATGCCAATGTCAGTGGTCAAGTACGATGGGTACGAAAGTCACCCACCCATGGCGATGATCATCTGCTCTACCCAGAGCCCAAAGCCCAAAGGCCTGACGACTTTCGATGTTGATGTTGTAAAGGAAAGGCGGAGATCTCCGGAGATTGGTAGTTTAAGGAGTCACGAGGTCCACAGAGCCCAACGCTAGCAAACTTCACAGAGGTTACAACCCTTAGCTGTAGTGATGGTTGGTGGTGAATTACAGCTCGTGATACCACAGAAGGTGGACTGATGAGGCAGAAATGCCGTCGGCGTGTAGACTGAGAAGCAGTCATGATATCCACCTACCGGGTTCACGTATTGGACTAACTAGAGCAGCATTCAGGCCGGACCCACGTTGACATCAAGGCCGAGAAGCACATCACCTTTTGGTTCCACTTGTTGATATGACTAGGACATGAAGGCTACCATCGCATTAATTTAGTCGGCCTACTCGACCTCCCAGAGCAACCATCGTTGAAATCATTGAGATAGTCGCATGGGACTAATATTATATAGGACAAAAATGGATTTGTGTCAACATTTGGACGGGGAAACAGTCGTAAATGCCATCTTTCATGGCTCTCTGTTAAGGCCAATCAGAGTAACGGCCAAATTTTTCAGGTCAAAAACATGACCGGGCGGCAGTCCACTCACTGATCTGACTCGAGCATGCAAACAACCATCCCTTTGGACCAAGCAAGCTATTGGAACCCTCGGAACAGCCATCAAGAGTCTCACTGAGGCAGTCGCAGGTAGAAAAAATGACGATGAGTATGGCTAGCTTGTTGGTAGGTGACTAGATGGAAATCTTTTAGACGGAATGAACGGAAATGCCTGCATGATGGTTGAACCAATGCAATCGTCAGGAAGCCTTTTCCGTACGACGGCCCTATCAGCAATCGGCGTTGCCGTGTACGCTCATTCCTCAGCCGTGTCCCCGTGGTACTCTCCCTGCAGATCAGACGGCAATAGGAAATGCTTTGCGAAAGGACAGAGGTGGCTCGAAGTCCACTGCTTGCGGAGATAGTATAGAGTCTATATTCTTGACTGTTATTGTGACATTCCGAAGACTTTACGCTGGTCTTTTAACTCCTTTCCGAGCAAAGGTAAGATATAGTGCAAATTGAAGGTCTATTGTAAGAAAAATATATTCGAATCTCGGCAGCGTGCATTGAAAGTCGCAACAAAAATAAGATCAGCTCTTAAATAGAAACATTAATTATCATTGTACATTAGAAATTCGTATTTAGAAGCGCTCGGTATCCGCTGATACCCACACCGCTGATCGACAGTCTGATGACTGTTCAAAGGCCTTTCGGCCGCGAACACCGCCACTTTCGTATCTTCGGAGAGGCCATTGCATCCAACGCAAGGCTGGTCAATCACAAAAGAAGCATTTGATGCGAGGGGAAGGAATGCAACTGAACCCCAAACTTGTCAAAATGGTTCAGGATATCAGTCGGAAATAATGCGTGATTTGATTGGTTGCGCAACGAGGCATTTTCTTGCAAGTCTAAAAGTCAACGAGAAAGGCACGGACTGCGCCCACTGATCAACCTTTTCTCCATGTAATTGGAACTCGGAAGACGGTTTCACGGAGCGGCCTCGTGGGTAAGACAGGGTTCATTTGGGGGGCTCACAGGGTCTTCATAGGGTTCATTCGGGGGTGATAAGATTATCTTCTTAGTACCTAGTCGTCCTCGTCCTGAGGGTCCATCTCCTGTTGGCGGTCTTGCTGCTCCACGCCGAGCATGCTTTACACTCTAGGAGAATTTTTAGAAAAACGGCCTTTCCCGCTGGCGCTGCACACTGCGACAAAGGGCAAATCTTGTCGAATTTTCATCAACAACTTTGATGAAATATTTTTGGGGGTCTGGCGGATAATGGTAGGATGCAGGCGATCGCTAATGGTATGAGATGAAAATTTACAAGTCTATTTTGATAGAGTAGATCAGCAGCCAGGAATCGTCAGGCATATCATATTCATGGTATCGTGCCCTCCCACGACATGTATCCTTGCCAGATGCCAAGTATGCCACGAGGCGAGCCCTGCATTCAAGGTTCTATCCCGCTATCCGCAGCCTTGGTGTCCTCCATATAAACCCCACCACAATCCACACTCCACACTCTACTCTCCTCTACCTTCTTCTCTTACATATTCAGCAAGAGCAAGGGCGTCAGTTCTTCACCACTTTGGCTGCATTTCCAGTCGCAAGACTTGGGCGCCATATGTGGTAAGGCGAGCCACGGCCCTTGTGCTGCACCCTTGACCGCTTTCTTAAATTCACTATTTAATTCTCCCGTCGAACATCCTTCTCTCATTCTTCATCCCTCTACACCTTCATCTCCACCTCTACAACATCACCTCAACAGCTCCTACCTTGCCCGATCACAACGGGCACCACCGCCTCCTCTTCATCGCGCTAAAGCCCCGCGCTTGCCCCCACCCACCAACTTTACCCCCACCAACAGCCTGATCCCACAATTGCACCACCGCTCACTTTTGCTGGCCATGTTGATTGACGGCGAGAAGTACGCTTGTGAAGCATGTGTAAGAGGCCACCGAGTCAGCACCTGTCAGCACTCGGGTAAGCTTTCGAGCTCTCCCTCTCTCTGTGAGGGCCTAGTCATGGGCGCTTGCTGACAGCGGCCTAAGACCGTCAACTTACACATATCAACAAGAAGGGTCGCCCTGTCTCACAATGCCCACACTGCAGAGGTCTCCGCAAGGCTCGTGCCTCACACGTACAGTGCGAATGTGGAGCCAAACCACACAGCAAAGACGAATGCAACGAGAACGAAGGCTTAGGCGAGTTCCAATCAGACACAGCGTCTGATCCTGGTGCACAAGACCACAAAACATGCTGCTGTAGCCATGGAGCACGATGCACTTGCGCTATCAAGAAGGAATACCTGGATCCTGTGCCGGAAATCGATATGCCTGTTCTGTCACCAAGGAGATCTACAAGCTCTCGAAAGCCCCGTCTGCTCAAAGCCGACTCGGACAACTGTTTGACCGTCTTCACGAATGGACATCATAAACCCGTACACAAACACAACGATTCGGCCCACAAATGCGGATTGCCCTACAAGATCCCGATCCCCCACAGCGTACCTGGCAATGACCCAGCTCGCCGCTCGACGGATAGCTTGCCGCTGATCAGGAAGAAAGAGGAGGCTCATTCTCAGCTACACGATTCGATTTCGAGCGCCCAGCAAGACGTAAGACGGGTCAGGTCCGAACATGGATCCCCAGAGCGAAGCACTGCCCGATTCCGGGACAGCAATGGTGACCTACCACCTTTGGATCTATCTTATGCTGGATACGAGAGTATTCAGGGCCAGTACCCCGAAGACTATTCACAATCGCCAAGAGCTTTCGAAAACTACTACTCCACATCTCATGAAGAGCTGCCAGCACTGTCGGCTGGTATGAACATGCCTGCAGTGGACTGGTCGGCCGTGGACCTGCCGTTGGATGGGGCCTACTCCGCAGCATACAGCCAGCCGCCATCATACGCGAGCTTTGAACACAGCAATGTCGGTCAGCCAGGTCTAACCACGTCATCCTCGGGCGAGCTCTCTGAGGTCGATGATTACGTCTCCCACAACCCTCGTGGTCAATCCCTCAGGCCCGAACTTGCATCTACGTCGGCCGAAGAGCTCAAATATAACCCTATGGATTCTTCATCAGCAGAATCGCTCAGCTACAACCCTACAAGCTCTTCGTCTTATCCTACAAGTTCTTCATCCTTTCCAAACCCATCGCATACATCGTTGCTGTCTTCAAACAACCTCAACGAACGCGACATTAATTTCATCGGGACCACGGCCTCTCCTACCGAGTTTGAAGAACCGACTGCCGGTATGCCCTTGCGATCCGAGGCCTTTGCAAAACACGGCTTCACAGTGCATGACGCACAGAAAATGGCACATCCAGAAACCCCTACTGAAGCAATGGGAGGGCTGAAATTGCCACCGCAAGTGGATGACAGAGACCACGTATGGGCTAAGCATTTTGACTCGTCTGAAGACTCTCTGGTACCAGAATGCAAAGTGGAGGATGATTGGGAGCAATAACATCCATAGCG